GTGCTACTTCATCGGCGCCACCGATGACGCGGCCACCTCCATCCTTCGGACGTCGGTGGCCACGCCGCTCGCGTCGCACCTCCCGCACACCCTGGTGTGCGAGCGGCTCAAGAAGACCGACAGCCAGATCTGCGAGCTGTCGTACACCTCCTTCACCGGCACCGGCGGCGGCGGCGAGGGCGATGCCAATGGCACCGGCGAGGGTGGCTCCATCTCCCTCAAGGACATGACCGACGACAAGATGAAGAAGATGCGCGTGCGCGACATCCGCCGCGCCGCCGCCGCCCTCGGCGTCAAGTGTGAGGGCTGCCTCGAGAAGGGCGACTACGTCAGCGCCATCCGCGCCCAGCGCGACAAGAAGACCGAGCTCTGAGCAGGCGAGACTCCCTCCTCTCCCACGGCCGGGGGGGGGGCCCATCTCCACCCCGCGGCCCGCGGCCGGCGGCCAAGCCAAACGGGGGAGTTTGTGTCCGCATATACGCGAGACGCGGGCAACCTCCCCGCTTTGTGCTCCCCCAGCTGTCTTTCCCTGCGCGAGAAATACACCACTCCCTTGCCTCTCCCTCTCCCTCTCCCTCTCCCTCCCCCATGCCCGTGTGCTCGCGCGTGTTGCGTCTGACTCACAAGGACAGCTGTTTCCATTGCCGGCACGGAGGCCCATCACGGCCACCCCTCCCCCACACTCAGGGGGAGTTGTTTTCGGCCATCGAGCGCAGGCGGGCCTCCACGGCCAGACGCCGGCGTTCGCGCTCTTCGGGCGAGTTGGCACTCGGCCGTGCAGGGGCCGGGGCCGGGGCCGGGGCCGGAGACGGGGTGGGGCTCGGGGCCGGGCCTGGCCGCGGGGTCGGCCGCGACCCGGGCGGCTTCGCGGCGGTCGGCCGCGCCGGCGCATATCCAACGGGCTCGTCCAGGCGCTGGCCCACCAGCGGCGACCCCTGAGCACGGAGGTTGGTCCGTCGGATGCGGTCCCGGATGTCCTTGGAGGACAGGCGCCCGAGCTCGGAGCTGCGTGGCCCGGGGGCTGACCCGCCGGCCGGGCGCAGGAGCAGCGCCGACTGGATGAGATCCACATCGGCCGCCGGGGTGGTGGTGGTGGTGGTGGTGGTGGCGGCGGCGGCGGCGGCGGCGGCGGCACCCGTAGCGGAGCCTGGCCCTGGCGGCGGGGGAGCCACCGCCTGCAGGTACGACTGGCGATCCAGCGGCCCCGGAGACACGCGGCCCGCGCGCGCCCAGTCCCACCGGCCCGGGTGCCGGGCCCAGGCCCGGCAAAAGGCCGCGCGCACCTCCTCCGATGCTGCGTCCTCGAAGGGGGTCTGGCGGCGAAGGTCAGTTAGAACAGGCCGAGGACATTGGGATCGTGGGGGTCTTCCGCCTGCCCCGGGCCCCACGCGCCCTGCACCTGGCTTCGGCCGTGTGATGGGGGGGGGGGGGGAGAGGCCATGCGGGCGAAGGGCGACATGCGCAGGCGGCAGATGAAACGCACCACGCGGGCACTGGCACCGGACGCGCGGGTCATGCGCGGATCAAAGCCGACTTCCAGCAGGATGGAGCACACCTGGTGCGAGGATGAGGAGGCCGCCTCATGCAGGAGATTCTGGGAAATGGAGCCAAAAGTACACACACACACACACTCGGAGTCAGACAAAAGCCAAGGAGAGGGCAGGGGGATCCGCCAAGCCGAGGGGGGGAAAGAGGGGCCGGCACACAGCCGCCGGCCAGCACGCACCCCACCATCAGGCTCGCAGTGGGCAAGGAGGCGGTCAAGCAGGGCGGCCTGCTCCGGGGTCCGGGTCGGGGTCACTCGGGCCACGAACTCCTCGGCCGCCAGCTCCGCATCTTCGGCGGGCGCCTTGACAACCTCTATCCCGAGGGCCAGAAGCTCGGAGCGCAGGACACCGGTGGACTTGCGCGCCACTGCCCGACGCAGCCGGCGGACAATCTGCTGGACCTTGGCCAGGAGCGGATCCGCGGGGGTTTCAGCCGATGCCGGGGGCTCAGCTGTCACAGGGGCCGCCGCCACCGCCACAGGCAGAGGACCGGCGGGCTCGGGGGCAGCGGGCTCCGGTGGCGTCCGGGACACGGTCACCACCGCCAGCTCCTCCGCAATGCGCTGGAGCTCGTCCACCTTCGGCCGACTGGTGGACATCGGTACCGGGAGGATATTGTCTACCATGCCACCAGGGGAGGGGGGGAGGAGCGTGTGTCAGGAGTCAGCTTGGCGGAGGTGTGTGTGTGTGTGCGTGTGTCTGTGGGTGTGCGCGTGCGGGACCGTGCAGGCCCCCGCGAGGGCAGTCACACTGCCCCAGACGGAAGGTGCGCAGAGAGACAGGCAGGAGGGGACAAGAAAAAGAAAAAGGAAAGAGGGCGGCAACATTCGCACCAAATTGCCCGAGCAGCGAGTGCGCCATCCGTCGATAGTCCCCGAGAGCCACTAAAAAGAGGCCAACTTCCGGCTTGACCGCCGACCAGGCACTTCCCGGCCCGGTCAGGTACTGGGCCACGTCTGCGCGCCAAAGGCGCTCATTTTCACGGCGCATCTGCGCACCGGCACTCTGCGCGGCCGAGCCCTTGGCATCGTGCGCCAGCTGCGAGCCACCCTGCTTGCGCCGGGTGGTGTAACGCACAAAGGTACAGGGGGCCGGCTGCCGGGACACCGCCGGGCCGTTGAAGGCCGCCGACGCATAGCGCCCACTCTGCATCATCATCACGGCGAACCGGTGCGTCTGCGGGTCGCGCGTTGCCGCCAGGAAGGCTCGCACCAATTGCATCTCAAAGTATTGCACGGCCCCGGGCAGGCCATGGGCCTCGGCATGCGCCAGGAGGTCTGAAAAGGGGGCGGGGGGAGAAGGAGGAGGAAGAAGCCGCGCATCTTGGTCGTCAGCGACAGCAGCAGCAGCAACAGTAGCAACAGTAGCAGCAGCAACAGCAACAGCAACAGCAGCAACAGCAACAGCAGCAACAGCAACAGCAGCAACAGCAACAGCAGCAACAGCAGCAGCAGCAACAGCAGCAGCAGTAGCAGCAGCAGCAGCAGCAGCAGCAGCAGGAATAGAAGCACAAAGAAGCGCATGCCCCTCCCCATCCTCACCGAGGCACGACAATGGAGAAAGAAAAATGCAGGCCACCAGCTGACCGACACGCACCGGCATAGGAGCGGGACTTCGGCGAGAAGCGTGGCTCCACGAGGAAGCGATACAGTGTGATGTAGTGGCGGTCGCCGGGGGTGCCGTCCGGCGGGCGCACTGCCAGTGTGATTTTCGGCGACCGAAGAAGCCCCCGGAACCAGTAGTGATTGTCCCCCGGGTCGCCGTCGGCCGTGGGGACCGGCAAATTGGACGCCTGGAGCGAGGTGCGGCCGAAGTGCTCATCATCCCCGGCGGCATGGTCCTCCTCGTCCTCTTCGGCCTCCTCGTCGTCGTCCTCTTCGTCGTCGTGATCCAGCGAGGCGTCCGAGCCGTCACTATTCTCATCGGCCGAGGAGGAGGATCCCGTCATGAGGTGGTCACTCGCCGGTCCATCGGAGAGACCGTCGTCGCCGGACAGCGAGCCCCGGGGCTGCGTATCGTCTGAGGAGCGCGGCCGGCGTCAGCCATGGGGCGCACTTTGCCCGGCATGTGGGCAGATCAAAGGCACAGGGCAGTGCCGGAGGCGGGAGAGGCACAGCAGCGCGGGTAATCAGGCTGCCCGGATCGACACGCACCAGGGTTTCCCACCAAGACAGGCGCCAGGCCATGGCGCTTGCGCTGCATGTTGGCCAGGTGCACTGGGTCCCGGGAGAAGTGCATCCGCTGCTCGGCCACCGAGGAGAACTCCTCGACGCCGCACAGGAGGCACGAGAGGGCCGCCATCTCCGGGTGCCGGGGGGCAGCCGCCGGGGAGATGGCCGCCGGCGGAGCGGCCACGGGCGGGGCTCTCGTCGCCGATGAGGCCGGCGTGGGGACCTGGTCCGCGGCCAGGCGCGCTGGCAGGTGGCCGAGCTCAATGCGCTGGTCATACTCGTGGATGGTGACCAGGGAGGCGGCGTCGCGATGCGTCAACGCCGAGACCACGGCCAGGCGGTCGTGGTCGTGCATGCGTGGCGATCGCTTCGGCGGCTTGACCATCTCGAAGATCGACATCCGGAAGGTCGTCCTCGGCGGCTGTTCGAGGGGGGGAGCCATGCTGTGGTGTGTGTGTGTGTGTGTGTGTGTGTGCGCGTGTGTGTGGATGGGACCAAGGTTGGTGGCAGGGAGAGAGGGGGGAGGGGAGGGGGGAGGCGGGTGTGTTTGTCGGGGCCGAAGGCCGGATGCCAGGGCGCACGAGTGCACAGGTCGGTCCGAGCAGGTCCCCTTATGTGGTTCACGTGCGGGGGGGGGGGGGGGGCGGGGGCCGCGCAGGTCGATTCGGCAAAGGGGCTTTTGGGCGGGGGTTTTTGGGGGGGCCCCCCCCCCCCCCCCGCCGCGGCCCCTCGACGGATGGCCCCGGTCCAGCGGGCGCCCCTCCCCGGCCCAGCCGCGTTGCGTCATGCAGGCGACGGCCGGACGCAAGAGCAATGCGTGATTGGTCTCCCGGCGGGACCAATGC